TGTTTAACCTTTTCAGGAATTGCCAAGCTGTTTTCCAAAGTGGCTACACCATTTTACAATCTCACTAGCAATATCTGAGGGTTCTGATTTCTCCATATGCTTGTTATTGTCTATCTTTTTAATTATGGTTATTTTAGTGGTATAAAGTAGTATCTCATGATTTTGATTTGCATTTCTCTAATGACCAATGATGTTGAACATCCTTTCATGTGCTTATTGGCCATTTGTGTATCTCCTTTGAAGAAATGTCTGTTCAACTCCTTTGCTCATTTTTCAAGTTAGATTGTTTTTTGTCATTGTTGTTGAGTTATAAGAGTTCTTTATGTCTTCTGAGTACTAGATCCTTAATTTACAGAGTTCTGAAAAAGCTAATTCTGACCATTTTTTCCGGCTCTCTCATTAATTCTATGGAGGAGGAAATTTTCTGGAATTATTGCTCCTCCATTGTCATTAACACCATTTGTTACTTATTAATTTAATATTTGTTGAGCATGATGAACATCTTTTGTACTTCATGTTACAAAATGATCAAGATTTGTGTCTTCAGCTAGCCCATGGAGTATTAGGAGGAGAGAGATTTTAAATAATTTAATTGCAATTATATGCTGTGAGCTCTATGTCAGGATGACATGCAGTGCACACACAAAAGACAGTGCTGAAGATTCTACCTGGGTTTGTGGTTGGGGATAAAGAATTGGAAGTTTTCTTAGAGAAGGATACTACTCAGGGTATATATGATGGTGTGGCATCTCTAGAAAGGAATTAAAGAACTCAGAATTTGCTGGTATGTATGTCTTTACTACTGTACGAGAGAGGTACCCTGTCCAGCAAACAAAGGTTTTTCAAATCTGCTTAGCAGGTATGTTCTTTTGGTGGAGGTGACTGCATCACAGCTTGCAGACAACATCCTTTAAAATTTATGTATATATAGTTATCTAGAGCAATAACAAAAAAAATACATATCTATATCTGTATATCTAATGCAATAGATATATATCTAAAATAAGAAAAATATTATGACTTAAAGAATGAGAATAGATAATTTATAAAAGAAGATAAAACAAATTTTTAGTCAGTCCTCAAAGAAATTTAATCTTACTGTAGTTAATACATTTTGGGGCCTCCTTTGTCTGACTTACCACATTGTAATACGAGGAGGAGAATTCTGCACTAAGGGGGGTGGTGAAGTCTGAAGAAGCAGGGGCTCCACTTCTCCAGGACTTTGAGAGTCTCTGTTCCCTGCTTGCTTTTGGTACATCCCCAGTTTTGAATCCAGCACAGACATGTCCTTGCAAAAGTTCTGGAAAAAAGGTCAACTATCACTTTTAAAAAATAATTCTAGGTGTCTGTCAGTCTTATTGTCAATGATGCAGAGTTCTTTTCCTCCAGAATACCTCAGGGGCCCACACTGCAAATCACACGTGAGTCACATGAGGAGGTCACTGGCAGGCAGATCACCTATTACAAAGAGACTTATGCATTCACAGAGTAAGGCAGCGCCATGGCAGAAAATTAAATGAAACCCACATGCCGATCTTTAACTACTGGATAATTCATGTAGGAAGATATTTATCCTTGCACTGAATTTGTTTATTCAATTTGTTCGTCTATATAAAACATGTTTATTGAGTGACTCCTAGCAGGTGCTCCTCTAGGATACAATGCTTAACAAAATAAACAAGGAATGTGCATTCTTTTGCATGAGCTTTTAAAAGACAAACTAGACAAGGAATTACATGTACATTTATTGGAGCTAGGGGACGATCAATCAACAACTAAACACATATATGGATCTGGAGGAGGTAGATAAGGGTAAAAGGGGTCAAATATTTGGTGACGGAAGGAAATCTAACTTTGGGTGGTGAACACACAATGCAATGTATACTGCTGAATTGTACACTTGAAACTTACTTGATTATGTTAATCAATGTCACCCTAATAATTTTTAATAAAAAAATAAAATAAATAGACACACATATTAGATATAAATTAAGATACATGCTAAAGAGAAGATAAATAAGGTGATGAGATGAAGTAGCTGAGGTTTGGTGGTAGGATATCTACTCTAGAAGGTGGGATGATTAAGCACCTCTGAGCAGGTAACAGGTCGATTTATTCATTTATTATTTCATTCACTCATTCACAATTACCTCGATGTATAAGATCTTGTAGGAGGAGTTCAGAAATGGAATCATTTTTCTAGGTAGGGGTGGTTAGGGAAGGTCTGGAAGAGGAGATGACATCTGAGCTGAACCTTGAAGAATGGGTAATGTGTGTGCACACATGGAGGATAAGCTCCAATTGGAGGAGATGTGGAAGGAGTATGAGGGCTTGCGGGTACACCAGACCTGTGAGACCTGTGAGATGTGCTGTTGGCTCAAAGCAGAAAACCAGGAGGTGGAGAAGACAGTGATAAGGCTAGAAAGACACCAGGGAAAGAATTACCTCTGTATATAGATTTAAATCATATTATTTTATCATTATTTAAACTCGTGTAACTATGAAATCTTACCTCTATTCTTGCAACAAGTTTCTCCTTTAATTCATGAGCTTCATTACAAGCATCTGCCTGAAAAGACACGCACAATTTGGGTAAAATAGAAATTATGTTTTTCTAGTTTATACAATAAAACCTCACTCATTTTGACACCACTTATTTGTAAAGTGGCTTTAATGAAACTTCCTTTTGCTGAGTAAAATCCTTGTTCTTAGAGCAAGATCATAGAGTAATTGTAATAAATTATAGGAGGAATAACCAAAAGATTAATAAAATTATTTTTAATATTTTAAAAGTATAAATTTATATAAATGCTGCTTATTATGTCATCTTTTTTCTCTATTTGATACTCTTCCCTTGCTCCTTAAAAAATATCCATCAGGATACTAGTTGGAAAAACAATCTGTTTCTGAGAAAAAAAGGAAAATTATATACTTTTTAAATATTTAAAAATTTGTAATATATAAATATAAGTCCACATTATGTCAGTTTGAACATTCGGGCCTTATGGTTTAGCAAGAGAGCTATTCATAAAAAGGTCTGTTTCTTCTTTCCTTCCTATGTCTCCTATAGGTTGTCAGATAAAAATAACAGATGGTTTTTGGTTGGTTTCTACCAGTAAGATCAAGAGACAGGCCGAAAGCAAACCACCTCTTTCTAAGACATGAATGCTAATTGCCATATGTCAGGAGTAGAACGTTTTAAAGGCTTTTAATTGATCATCCCATAATAGACTTGCAGCATGAGTTGAAAAGTAGAGCTATAGCAGGAAGGAGAGTGTTTAGGGATCCAAGAAAAATGGGTTCTAGAGGTGCCATTTCTAGAAATTGATTTTTAAAGAAGTACTTGCCAAAGCAAGCAAAGAGATGGATTTCTGAGGCATAATTTCTAATAGCTAACATTGATTAAAAAGCCCAAAATATCCAACAAAATAAATTTGATACATCTAAAAATCAGATCCCACATTATATAAACAGTGAAAAGGTAAAATGACATCTAGTTGCATAGAAAGTTGTTGAAGAAAAAATGCTAGGAGAAAAAAGCAAGTTGCAGAACATATGGTAACAAAATCCCATAAAAATAAAAGTAATATATAAATATATGTATAGAAAGATTTTTAAAATATACTAAAATGTGCACAGTGTTTAGTATCAAGTTAGTGGGATAATTTTTTTATTTTTTAATATGAAAACACTCTATAATGTTTTAAGTATTAAAATAAGCATGTGTTACTTTTGTTAGAAGAAAATATATACATGTATGTATATATTTAAAAATATATAGTAAATATTTTTACATATGTAAATGTATATTAAATATATAAACATATAGCACCATATACACATATTTATTTATTTGTATTTTTAGTGGGAGAGCAAGAACGAGACTAGGTCTTTTCACCTAGAAATATGGGCAAGTCACCTCTTGTTTCTGAGTTATGCTTTTCTCTTTTGAAAATGAAGGTATAGTTTAAATGACAGCAAGTTCCCTTCTAGGTCTAAAATTCTTTGTTTATCTTTCATCGAGTTTTAAATTCCATTCACTAAAATTTTCTAAATCTGAGATTTCTTTGAAGAACTGTTCTTCTTTCTTAATTATAAAGCCATTTTATCATTACCTGGACAAATTTGTTATCCATTTCTCCTAATTGCTTTTTAATTTCCGTGATCTTCTCCTTTAAAACAAAGGATATAAAGCAAAAGTTGTAAAGAATGATGTGTGAAATTGAAACAAAACAAATAAGGATATTTAGTAGAAAGCTCATTCATGATCAAAAAGTTTGAGATTTAATAGAAACTATTTTTTCCATACTGTTGTGGATGTTGATCTCCAAAGCCAATATCAAATCAAATCAACATGATGTTATTGGTCACATCCTATGTAAGTGGCCATTGAGCTAGGCATTGTGCTGGTTGGATATGAGTATTAAGGGTATTTACTTTCAAACAACTGTAGAGAATGTATAGTCTATACTCTTTTGAACAAGTTCATTCATCACTAACCCCCGAATTGTGTGACTTAATTGCTTAGAAAAGAGATGGGAGTCAGTCTCATAATGAAAGCCTAGACATGGATATGGAGATTTCAGAAAGCTTTCTGGACTCGTGGCGAGGGGATCAGTTATCAGGCAACACCCAAAGCCACCTCGAATTCCTTTCTTCAGCTTAAAGGTCTTTTAAAGTTGTTTCTGGTGTGTATGTGTTTAAATATTTTTACCATCTTTTCCTCTTCCCCTTTCATGGCTTCCTAAATCATTCCATTTCTTCATGAGAAATAAATGAGGTAATACATGTGACATTTTTAAACTTTGTTAACTTAGTTCTCCTTTAATTTTTCCATGCTATGTTTGCTGTTCCTCTATTTCTAACGATTTTCACCAGAGTAAATCTACAGCCGTTCCTACTGACTTTGCATCTGTAACAATTTCTTATTAAATATTCTTATATTTAAAGTTTCTTATACATTATATTACTACATTTGTTTTTACACAGGCCTTCCCATCAGTCTTAGACCTTCCAAGGACAGAACTTGTGACAATTCTTTAAAGTTATATTTATTGAGGTTGTAATTTACATACAGAAAAACTCACCTTTAAAAATGCATGGTTCTATGAATTTGGACAAGTGCATTGTGTCATGTAATCACAACCACAACAAGGTATGGAATATATCTAACATACCCCAAATGTCCTTGTGCCCTTTTGTCAATCCTCTCCACCCTTTCCCCACTCCATTCTAGCAACCACTAATCTATTTTCTTTTCCTACAGTTTTGCCTTTTTCAGAATGTTACAGAAATGAAATTATGAAGTAGATAATCTTGTGGGTTGGGCTTCTTCCACTAAGCATAATGCATCAGAGATTCATTGATGTCGTTAGATAATTAAGAAGTCCATTCCTTTTAACCACTGAGTAGTATTCCATCATATAACATGTACCGCAGTTTATCTACACATCAGATGGGCTGTTTTTGGTTTTTTAAATTCATGCCTGTTTTTTTTAAGGGCATATAAAACTGCATATCTCCATACATATTTGTGATATCTTCCTCTTTCATATTATCCTAAGGCCTTGTTGGTTTGTTTTTTTAATCTTTATTTATCTTTGTGCTCTTCTTTCTCTTCATTCTTTTGATATTCCTCTCCCTAT